AACCCGCACCGTGCAGATGGTCATAGTTTTCCGTGTCGTGCTGAGGGGGAGGGGGCGTTTTCACACGTTTAACTCGGCTCCTGGGCCACGTGGTGACACGTGGTAAGTGGCATTCAAAACAGCGTCAAAAATAATGAAGAAAATAGTTAATCGTTTTTTTTTAAGTCAGGTGAAAGGTCGGACGCCAAAAGTCAAATTTTGCCTATGTCAACATTTTTCTTCAAAAAGCGGCGCACAACTCGGGAACCAATAGAGCTACCCAGCCGATAACTCAAGAACCAATAGACGCAGCAAAACGGACGAGGAGGCAAACGAAAGAACGCGACGAGACACTTCCGATGAGTACCTAAAAGTTGAATTTTAAGGTCACAGGTCGGGTCAAGGTCAGGTCAAACACATGAAATTGGACTTTAAGTAGCATGGGTCCAAAACACCTCTGGTGACCTGACCTTTGACCTGACCGAAAAAGTGACCTAAGTAATTTCGCCATTATTCCTTACGCTTTTTCGAACGTCGCTTTCCCCGTATCGCTACATGGCCCATGGAGCCGAGTTAAAAGGGGGTGTTCAAACACCCCCGCCCACCAGCAGGGCGTGTACCTAATTCCAGGACCCCCAGCGGGGTGCGGGTTATGAAATGCATGCATCATGGTCATGAAGTAGTCACAAGAAATTGCCAAGATTCCGTTCAAGATTTTGGAAACCGTAGAACGATAGGTAATCAAAAATCGAAGATGGCAATTTGATTGTTCATGGTAGGTATTGGCAGTCCAATGACGTTTACGGCATGTCTGTATCTATTCTGTGATTTTTTACTTACCTATGATTTTTTTTAAGCATGTGTCGCTTTTTGTCGAAAACTCATATCATGACGTCACTAAAACCTCGATATCTCAACAAAATTTGGACTGATTTTTTGGAAACTGTCACAATAAACTTCTACCAATTCCCTACATGTACCTGCCTACACAAAATCTGGCAAAAAAAACATCGTCCCTAATTCTATGCTTAAATTCTGCACCAGCAATACCTATTCCAAGTATTCGTGCTTACAAACGGGCCAATTGTCTATATGGACTCTCAGCTGCTCCCGGGTCATACGCAGCGCCTCGCCGACTGAGCGTAGCCAGGCGACAAGCCAGCCCGTCACCACAAGAACGGCGCTACCTCCTCCCCCCCCCCTCCCTCCTCCCGACCCCGTCCCCCGACCGGCGCGGCATTCCTCGGGCCACAATAGTGACTCCCCTCCCTCAGCTGACCCGTCCTCAGGTGCGGTGTGGGTACACTGGACAAATACCTCTGCCGGGGCTGACGGGGTCCATGTTTGAACAAGGGATTAACCCACGAGCCGCTGGGGGGGGGCATAAAGTTGCCCCCCCCTTTACGTTTTGTGCAATATCTCCGAAACCTGATGAGTTACGAACGTGAAACTTGGCATAGCTTCAAATGAATACCTAGGCAATGTTTGAGGAAAGTTTGGTGGTTGTAGCACCTAAGATGACGTCACAGTGACGTCATAAAGTTTTGCCGTTTTCCGATATGGACCGTTTCTGATGACGCTGAGCATGAAACTCAACTGTAAATGAACTAGACAAAACCTGCTGTCATCCTAAAACATCTAAGTACACTTCCATCTAGTGTCTGACCAATAATTGACCCTTTATATTCGGTCCCATATATCTGATGTATCGTAAGGAATATGAGAGACGCAAATCTATAATTTCACTTATGACGTCACTGTGACGTCACTTCAAATGGGATCGACACCAAATTTGGACACAACCTCGGCTAGGTATTCAGGAAGATGTGTGCAAAGTTTCGCTTCTCTATCTCTTCGCGTTGCGACGATATCGTCGCAGAAGTAAAGGGGGGGCAACTATATGCCCCCCCCCAGCGGCCGGCGGGTGGCGCGGAGGCCCAGCGGCCGCCGGGTTAAGGGAAGCCTTCAAACATCTCAGACGGAGTTTTCGCCGAAACTACCAGCTAGCGCCATCCACCGGTGAACGGCGGTACTAAACTTCATTCGCTAGTTCCCGAAACGACACACCATGAGCTCAATTTTTTACCCCTTTTTCTCCAGCCTTTTGCTTGAAAGCACACTATAGCCTGAGAAATTTCTCATTTTCCTCATCCGCCCATTTTACCATAGTCTATGTACTTTATGTCACCTATTTTGACGAACTTTGCACTTTTAGCTTTCCAACGACCTATTGAATGTAGCATTTGGAAAAGTAAACCGGACAAAATATCTCCTTAAGAAAGTGGCCTTAAAGAGGAAAACATCCCATTGCTAAGGATAGGTGCAATTGACCCCATGGGCTGGTTCAATTGACCCTCGCATCGGGGTCATTTGAAACGGGCGTAGAGCTGTTTTATAAGCATGCGTTTGGCAGCAAAATATGTTTGAAACATAATTTTACATATCTTAAAATTAAGCCAAAAGAGCATATTTTTTCATGGCATTGTGCATTTTTCGATATGACAACTAGATCTCGCTGTGCATGTCAATATATAAAAAGTGGTTCAACTGGCCCCGCTCTCCCCTACATGGAAGAGAATCGTATTCCGCAGATGACGAGTTGGCACTGCCAGTGGGAAGCGTTCGAGCAGATACGATGAGTCCACAACATGACGATGCTGAAGTGTGAAGGATGAGTAGAAGGGATAAAGTTTTCGGAACATTCTATGGAATGTGATGCCCTAAAAGAAAAAGAAAACACCTGCTTCCACCAAAATTGAATTGTTTAAGAATGAGTGTTGCTCTGCTGAGTTTTGATTTGATTGGAACGACCTTTGCACGAGCTCGACCTAACTGGTCTTGAAGAATCATCCTGAAAACAGCCTGAAATAGTCACGCTGCTGATGTCGCCCAAGAACCGTTTTGGAGAAGAGTGAGGACCGTTTAAAGTTCCATTTCTCCGTTTTATCTCTTTTTTTATATGCTTACAAGACGTTCATCAGTACTTCATTTGATTTGCAGAAGCATATAACTGCAAGTTATGAATTGCATACCCAAAAGAATAAGACACCCTTGCTTACCAACATATCTTCCCGTTTGGTCCTTCCCAAGGGGCTGTCCGTTTCGCCGGCCGGCTCCTACTCCGTCCCGCCTCCTGCCGCCGCGCTGAGAGAGTTCCCACGGGGTGCCGGCGGACCGTGCGCCGCCAGGTGACGCGCGCCCCGGGTCGTGGGAGCGCGCCCCCTGGCGGAATGCCGGCACCTGTGCGCCGCGCGCCCAGCGGCGGCGCGGAATGCGCGGAATGCGGCGGCGCGTGTCTGCCGGCGGCGCGCGCGTGGCTGACGGCCGGCGGGCGCGGGCCCTCGGGCCGAGCCGACTGCCCCGGGGCGATGGAACCTGCGGCCGACCGAGGGGTGCCCAGCGGCGCAGCCCGGCGGCGGCGGCACACCTGGTCACCGACCGAGCGGGGAGCGGCGGAATGCCAACGGGCAGATGTATGTATAGGGGGAGACCATCGGCACGCCGCGTCTGATGGAACGCGCTGTTAGGTGCCGGTGTGCTGCAGCGTGCGGGTTCACGGCGGAGCTGGACCGTGATGGAATGTGCTCCGGCTGCCTCATGGAGCTGCCCTACATTTAAAGACAGTTACCAGCCTAAGCTAGCGTGTGTAGTGAGATGGTTGTTTGACATAAACTGTGCGGCCGACGGCAATTCAGAACATTAGTTTGTTTTATCATGGCAAAATGAGCATTCTCATCGCTCATTTATTTGCCTGCTTTCCTCAAGATCCCCTCACAATAGTCAGCGCACACTCCCTGCACTACTTGCTCAAGGCACAGACGGGCCCGTTATATAAATATGGGATGAGGAAGTCCACCAAGAGAAAAACAAACATAAAACTGCGGTGGAGTTTGAACAAAGGAAGTGAACATATACCTACACTCATCTAGGTACAGCAGTGCGCAGCGTGCACATGCACAAAAAGATAAATTCGGGTCTATCCAGATTCAGAATGGCCAATACAAGTTGTGAATGCGACGCTACACATATTAATAATGTCACCGTTGTGCATTGGCGAAGTCAAATGCAGGCATCGGTAAAATCCTTTTTGAAAGGATTGCATTCCCAATCCACATTACTAGTGCCGAAGTGGATTGCATTCCTACCCGCAATCCCCTTTTTTCACTTGGATTGTGATCAAATCCGCAATCCTTTTTTGCAATCCTGTTGTATTATTATGTGCACTAGTGGATCTGGGGGAGGGAGGGGGGCATAGGGCCGTGCCTCCATTTCCAAATCACCCACTTCTAGTACCTAGTCTTGCAAGTAATTCGTATCTAAGGCACAGGTATTTTATGGGAAATATTTTTTTGCCTCAAACACCCCCACATTTAAACCTCTACCCAACCAGTGTTTTATATTTTTAAAGCTCGCCCTCAAATACGCAATTTTGCTCCTCCTATGTAGTTCATCAGCGTATATTATTTGGAGCGTTTAAATTAAAAGCGTTTAAATTATTTCAAGTTTCGATGTAAAGCCCTTGATAGCAAAGTACATTAAGCCGATGAAGCCGATCTCATAATTTTCAATCGCAACAAACCATTTCAAAGCACTAATCAAACACAATCCGGATTGGATTGCAAAAATTGGAAGTATGATGCAATCCAATCCGCAATCAAATCCTGTTTTTTGGAATGGATTTCAAATCCAGGTGCAATCCACCAAAAAGGAATGCAATCAGGATTTTGCAATCCTGCAATCACAATCCTACCGATGCCTGGTCAAATGTGAAGTATGTATGTTCATAGTCGTGCCTCTTTCACGCCGTTGCATACCCAGACGAGTGGATTGTGTCGTCCTATTAGCTGACTGGCACTGTCTCAATACAAACCGCATGCCTTTCCTTTTTTGCATGCTCCTTACAATAAAATATAACTTGCCGAATTATCATAATAGATGCTCATGTGACCGGATTTCGATTCCTCGTTCAACTCCAGTCGTCTCTTAGAACCGACTCGGGCATGTGCTCTCTAAACAACAGCAAATAAGAATGTATTTTATTCAAAATATCGTTGCCTATACACTGAGCTTGTTCTTTCCCTTGGCCTTGTTGATCGCTTCCCAGTAATTGTCGGTGCTGGTCGCCTCCCAGTGACGAATTTCGGCAGGCAAGCTGGCGAACCTGCGAAAATACGGGATACCTACCTATCACTGGAAACAATCACCGTCGTGACTCGTCACAGAACCAAAAGCGACAACAGAGCTAAAGACTTTTTTATGTCACATTAACGTTACGCAGTGTTTGTGCAGTGTCTACTTGAGTGCATGTGTACTGTGTACTGTGCACTGTGCAGTGTGCAGTGTGTATAACATATACACATGGACCGATAAACACGCCAACGAATGGTATATCGCGGTCGCGGCCGTTTCCACGCACCTGTCCAGCACTTCCCGCAGCATGACCGTCTCCTCGGCGCTGATTGGCTCGCGGCTCATCTCCAGGTCCTGACGCACCTGCTCCGGTGACGTCACACCCATCAGGTGTGACGTCACACCGGGCCGGGTCAGGAAGTAGTGCAGCGCCAGTCGGGTCAGGTCAAAGCCGCGCGACTGGAGGAACAGCGGAATACGTCAACAGGAAATGTGCATTGCGGAGTTCCAACGATTATTTTCAATCTCAAAACCGGGCATGCCAGCAGGCCACTATTGATTATGCATGTTTTTGTGCAGGTGTTTGCCGTATGGTAAATACCTTGCAGAGCTGTTTCATCTCGCGGCAGGCCTGTTTGAGCTTCTCAGAGGCAGGGTGCCAGTCCGGGGGGTCCACGGGTGATAAGAGACCCATCGAGGTGGCCCCGGCGTCTATGACGCCGATATTCCGTTCACTGGAGGTCAAAGCAGATGACCAGATTACATCCAGAATGCATGTAAGTTGACGTAAATGTTGATTGAATTAGGGAAGTAAGATAACATATTTACAAATTATGTGTTAGAAACTTTAGCAAATCATATGCTAACGTCCGTTTTGAGCACCAAGGCTTACCGGAAAAATGGTATAAATGATTCCAGTGTGTTGTCATGGAGATTGTTTCGGCTGTACGATAAAACTGAGTCGATTTTCACCTTGCTTCTCTTGACCACTTCTTTTAGCGTGCTCACGGGATAACCTGAGGAACCAAGAGAAGTGCACCAAATATGTTAGACACTCGACGCAAGTCAGTTAGCGCAATATCCAGTACATTCCACACTTGACAATACAGTATGCACTCACAAGCAAAGCATTTGACCCACAATCGCCTCATGCAGCCCCTTGTCAAGCCCAGCCACAAGACTCTCTTACGAGACTCTCGTATATATCTCTTACAAGACTCTCGTATATATCGCCCACCTGTGATGCCGACGTAGCGGACCAGGCCCTGCTGGCGC